GCCTCTACCTTTTCATCAAAGATAAAGACACTCAGAACAGCGGCAATAATCTCAGGGGTGAGCTCATTGAAGAAACGGTTGAACAGCAGCTCCGAGAGCAAGAGCTCGTGGCCCTCTGTGGACGAAATCTCACAGGCGACACGGGCCTTCATCTCGACAACTTCGGCGTCGTTGATGAAGCCAAGACGGCGCAGGACTCGCTTTCGAGACTTCAATTCATCGAGCTGGGCAATGCTGTGGGCTTTGCCGATCTGCTTTTTCAAGCTCTTGATCTTTTCAGCCAGAGCCAGTTTCTTGGAGTATTGCTCCCATAGTCCGGGAAGCAGGGGCGAGCCATGAAGGGGGTTGGCGAGGAGGCGGGACTCGAGAACCTCAATCTTGCGCAACAACTTCTTGAACGAATCGTCCGTGATGCCCATGTTCTCAATAGGGTCCAGGATAGGGACGCCATCTGGGAAACGACGAATCACCTCAGTCAGAGACTTGAGGGTGGTCTTCTTGACCTCTTCAATATCCTCAAGGGTCTTGATGTCCTTGGGCATGAAGACTCTGATTTGGCTGATTGTCTTGATGCAGGTGAACAGACACGGCACGACCTCGAATCCGGGGTTGGTGGATGCATTGGGAAGCACGCCGTTGGGCATCTCAGACGAAGGTTGGGTCAAGGAGGTGAACGCTTCGCTCTTGTCATCGATGTGGAGGAATACATCGACAAAGTAGGACTCTTGCGGCTCAAATGGCTTCTCTCCAAACTTGGGACCTCGGCGTTCCGTAAAGTTTGCAACAACACCCCAGCCAAAGTCTTGGCCAGTCTTGGGGTTTTGAATCTGGATCAGTCTGCCCGGCTGAAGGAAATCAATGCAGTGGGTCGGGTGCTGAATAACGTAGACCATGTCTTTGGTGTATGCCTCGATCTGCTGGCGCAGGCCGTGGTAATCCTTGATGGTAGCCTCGTCGGGAATGGCCATGCAATCCCTCTCTTTCTGGAGCTTCATGAGCTCTTGCTCCAGACCAGCGACGCTAGCAGTGTTCTGGAACTGGAAGAAACAATTCTCCAACATGAACTCGGGAGAGATGGCCTCGATTCGGAGCAGGTTGAGAACCATGTTGTAGCCGAGGTGGAAAGCCGAGTTGAGGCGGTCTTGCTGACCGACAACAATCTCCTTGGCGGTCTCAGGCTCCAGCTTGTCGTCGATCATCATGATGACGATACCACGCTCATCAAGACCTCTACGACCTGCTCTTCCGGCCATCTGGATGTACTCGGAAGAGGTCAGCGGCCTTCGCGAGACACCGTCAAACTTCTTGACTTGGGTGAATACGACTGTCTTGGCCGGCATGTTGAGACCAATGGAGAAGGTCTCGGTAGCGAAGAGAACCTTGATGAGTCCTTCTTGGAACAGAATCTCGATGGTCTCCTTCAAGATGGGCAAAAGTCCCGAATGATGCACACCGATACCCTTTTCGAGAAGCGGCAGAATATTGGTGATCTGGGGCAGCTCACGGTCGGACTCGGAAAGAGACTCGATTGCGCTTGAAAAGACCTTGCGCGTCATGGCCTTTTCGCTGTCGTCGTTGAAACTGAACTTGGAAGTGAAAAGCGCCATCATCTCGCACTCTCTCTTGCTGAAGTTGAACACGATAACAGGGTTGAAACCCTTGGACATGACCATCTTGACGATCTTCTGGATGTCGGCATTGGCATCGTCCTTGCCTCCCTTAAAGGTCTTCTTCTTCTGGCCTCTGCCGCGCATCTTCGCATCAGGATCGTTTGCCTCGCTGGCCTTCCTATCCTCGATCATCTGCATAGTCTTCTGGAAGTTGTTCTCTCTGAACACGCTCTTCTCGTCAACAACGAGGAAGATTCCATTTCCACCAGAGGGAAAGAAGTAGTTCTGCAGAGGAGTGGGACGGAAATCGGTGTAGACAACGTGGCAAGCTTGTCTGTGAATCTTGGCAATCCATTCTGCAAACTGGAATGCGTTGGGGATGGTGGCAGACAAGAAGACATAGCGGACCTTGTCAGGAAGAAGAATGATGGTCTCTTCCCAAACGACACCTCTCGTCTTGTCTCTCATGTAGTGAATTTCGTCAAAGACAACCCAGGCGACTTCACGCATGATCTCTGAGCCTCTGTACAACATGGATCGCAGAATTTCCGTGGTCATGACCAGACAACTGGCGGTCGGGTTGATGGTGACATCACCAGTCATGAGACCGCAGTCACCAAAAGCCTCGTTGAATTCACGATACTTTTGGTTACTCAGGGCCTTGATGGGACTCGTATAAATGACACGGGTGTTCTTCTTGAGACACTGGGCAATTGCGTACTCTGCAACGACAGTCTTTCCAGCACTGGTATGGGCCGAGACCAGGACACTCTCGTCTCTCTCGATGGAAGAGATGGACAGGCGCTGGAAAGGATCGAGGGTGAAGGGCCAAACTCGCGCGGGGTCGGCGGGGGCCTTGTGTTCCGAGAGGGGCACATATTCGTAGTCCAGATCGGGCGGCAGGGCGACCTGGTGCTGAATGTTGTGAGAGAGGACCAAAGAAGACTCCTCGTCCTGCTTGGCGAAACCTGCAGCAGCAGCGAGCTCTCTCGATTCAGCCGTCTGGAACGAATCTGTAATGATTGGCTCTGCCTTGTCCTCCTTCTTGACGCGCTTCCTGTCCTGCTGGCCCTCGGAGACGGTCTGGCTGTCCTCTTCCATGTCGTCGGCGTCGTCTTCGGGCGATGTGGGCTCTGCGTCGGCCATGTCTACGTCGGGCTCGGGAGCAGAACGTGTCTCGGCGTCGTGGGTGCCATTATCCAAAGCGTCGACGGCCTTGCGCTTCTTGTTCTTCTTCTTATTCTTCTTCGGCTTGGAGACGGGGGAGGACTGGGGATCAGTCTTGACCTTGCCAGGCTGGTCCTCAAAGACGTCAAAAAGGTCGTCGTCCATGGTGTCTAGCTCTTATCGATTGCCACCCCACTGCGCCGGGGAAAGAAAAAAGTCGATTCGAATAGAAGTGCGCGCACGCTGAAAAAGATCAGGAAATCGGGTGTATCCAAATGCGGGATTTGGAAAGGAAAAACAAGACGCCTCAGTGAGAGAGGTCGACTGGTGCAGTAGTCTGCTGTCTGGCTGGCGCAGGTGGACTGCTTGCGATCGCCGATTTGCAAAGCGTCGATGCAACTGCTTTAGAAAAAAGTTGGCGGGCTGGCTGCAGCGATCGGTAGAGGGCCTCTGCAGCTTTGCGACGGCAGAAAAATTCCGAGTCGATCGAGGCCCGGGATTGGGAGCGCAAGGATTCTATTCGGCAGGCGGTGGAATCAGAGAGCTGCGATTTACCCGCCCCACTCTTTCGCGCAGAGCTGCCACTGCAGCGCTGACCATTCCAGTTGACTCTGCAGGCGGTTCAATGGACGTTTGGCTCTGGGAGCCGAGAATCATCCGGCCATCGTTCGACCTGACGCATTCTCAGCCCGCTAGAACCTCATCTCGAAGTGCAAAGCTCACGAAGCTCAACCCACGATACAAAGCATCTCCACTCAACACAACCGACACCAGTCGTCTCAATCAAGGTAGCTACGCGCCCGATATACCAGACCGAACCTCTGCTGACTCCATTGGCGCTGCAGATGTCTCCTCAGTCCATCCTCCGCGCCAGCCCGCGCATGGCCAACATCATGGGCCGCCGCATGTTCCACGCCACCCGCCCTCGCATGACCTCGCCCTACCACTACCCCGAGGGTCCCTACTCCAACTTGCCCTTCAACACCAAGACCAAGTTCTTCGCCGTCCGCTACTGGCTGTACATGATCACCGGCTTCTTCGCCCCCTTCGGCATTGCCGGTGCGTCATTTCCCCTTGTCCGCCGCGTCCCGGGCTGCCTCGGGAACGCGACAACCCTCGAGACCATATCAGCTAACATATTTCCACAGTCTGGCAAACCTACAAGCCCAAGGCATAAGCGGCTTGCTTGGGTTTTAGCGAAGATGCAACGGGGCTTCGTCGGGGCTGCTTGGTGATGATAGAACGGGCAAAAGGCTACCCGCGGACGGAAGCTGTACATATAAGAGGACAATAGAGCTCGAGGCCAATCGCCGCAAACGTATTTCCATATGTCAACTTATCATCAAAACGATCAGAAAGCAACTGTTTCCCGAGGTGCCGTTGTACGTGCTCCAAATGCAAATGGATTCGCAGCTCGGTCAGGCAAGTCCTTGAAAGCCCAGTGGGATACGACGGTATAGATGCGGTATCGTCAACCACTCGACCGTGCTCACCTAGGGCCTACTATCTCCTTGCTCATCATGTTCAGCTCGATCCATTGGCCGCCAAATCAGCAGATCTAGCGTTCCATATATATCAGAGATGATAGTCATACCATGTCACGGGATACTCCCAGCCATCGACCATACTTCTGCCATTTTGCTTTAGCAATATTCACGGGGAATCTCCACGGATCGACCAACAGTTTTCTGCTGACGGCCGTATTTAAAAGAGCAAGCCCGCGAAGCCCATCACGTCATCAAGTTACCGATGGGTTACTGAAGGAGTCACCCGTAGACTTATGTCTACCAATTCATTCATACTATCTCGTACCTCGTACATATCAACCGATTCGATCCGGCAACAGAGACTTGCTTTTTGGCGTCAGACGTTTTTATTGTGTCTGGTCCGATTTATCCATTTCTTTCTATGATAGAACAGTAGATCCACCAATGAAATCCTGCAGGTATTGCTCTATGCACTTTTTTTTATATCATGCGCCTCCGGTTCGTTGTCATCTTATTGCATCGTATTTCATGCATTCTCGTCGCAGATTACCACGCAAGACTATTCACCCATACTTGTGGTATACTACCTGATCTACTCATTAGTAGACCAGACTCGTCACCCACCATCGCATCTCTACCGCTGCGACGTGGCGAAGCATGACCTATCCGGCATTATTTCGGTCGTCACCTTGCGCACAGTTTCTTAACCACTCTTTTCTGGGCTGCCATCATCCAAGGTCGATTAGTGTAGTTGGTTATCACATCGGATTCTGATTTTCATCTGAATCTTCCGGTAACCGGGGTTCGAATCCCCGATTGACCTGCTTTTTGCCCGTTGAGGGTTTGCTTTTGTTTTATTTTTATCAGCGACAACGCTGACAATCGTTTATTGTGATTTGATTCTTTTTTTTTCTAAGATAGGTAATCGAGAGATGGGTGTATATTCTTCTTTTCCGTGGCGTCGAGAAGTCAATCCTCGTGTTGGAAGCCACGAAATTGCCCCAACGGGTAATCCAACGGTTTGGAAAATACGATTAATTGATAATTGAAAGTGTGCGTCCAAGTTGTATCACGTTCAAATTGAGCTCATACGTGGAGCACCTGAGTGAATATATGTATGTTTGTATTGACGAAGCCGCTCCGTGGTGCGGCTGTCCCGTTGGTGCGCTTGGAGATAGGTAACTACCTATATGTACGGTGGAAATCTACCATGTTCATGCCAGCTTTTGAAAATGTCAAAATATAAGCATAGCCCACAATAACTATCAAAAGTGACACGGGAGCCCGTTATTATCCGTAGCTAAAAGTGAAGATCTGTCGAATCGTGATCCCAACACGGCAAGACACGGGCCTCCATGATCTGATCTGACATGATCTGATGCCGAAAAGCCCCATACACTAAACTTCCGGATATGCACCCGAACGAATCAGAATTTCATTCGGTGCGGGCAAATTGATTATAGTGAAGTTAGCCAAACCTGTGGAACCTCTATATTTTGCATGTTTCACTGGTTTGGTATTTGGATCTCGACGACGCAATGCAAGATGGTGATTTTAATCTAGCGATGTTGAATGGAGGCCTGGATCTGAGACTCTCAAGAATACTGTTATATGAAAGATCGCGAGTGAAGTAAAGATGGAAGTGAAGCACTCAAGTCTGTCCAAGCAGTGATAGGAGCGGAGCACGTAAATGATGTTGCGTTCTTCGACAATTAGAAACCTATACAATCTTCCTATACCATTATAAAGTCAGAATCAGTGACCTATTTCCAACGAATTGTGCGAGTCCACAAAGTGACTGTTCAGAGTCAGAATTTCTGTAAGTCTTATACTTGCACCGGTTCTGAATCAACATCGCCTGCGTGAAGAGCTATTGTTGGGTTTGAGAGCCGCCAAGTTACTCACTGACGTCGAGCGTGATCGAATCATAATATCAATCCATGATCATTCTCAGCCTTCCCTTAAGCTGTCTGTTACTCACTGACACCAAGTGGAATCAATCACAATGCCAATCAACAAGTATTCACTCACAGTCTTCACCTCACTTGTCGATAGATATAAAAAAATGCCGGCAGAAGCAGAATGGAACCAGAACCAAAACTGTCAGTCAACATTGCAGCCACGACATCACGAAGTTGAAGCATCTTACGCAGACATCACGAACCCAAGCATCACAGCAAGTATATCACCGACCCGAAGCATCACAGCAAAAACATTACGAAGTTAAAGCATCATGTCATCCTCATCGCGATATCAGAGAGTTGAGGATTTTGGCCTCACACGGACCCATATCGAAATGGAGGACTACATTGCTGACCTTCCAGACCTCCTTGCAGGAGTAGATCCTCGACCGACCCTCAGGCGTTACCAAATCTCACGGCGAGAAAGAATAGTACATGCATACAATGTCAGCGTCCCGGCGAGAACGTATATTGTTACATCTGCCTTTCTTATGCACGGCGAAGCACAGAACAGCGGGCGAACCACGAGCATGCGGCTGCACCAGATGATCCTCGCCAACTTTATCGCCAAGGGCGGCTTGCCGACGAATCTTGCCAATATCGCCTTCACCGAGATCACAAACTCCGCCGTACAGGAAGCCATCAATCGAGACTATAGAGACCTTTGTGAAATGGACAATGTCCCTCCAACTTCGGAAGTGATTACTTTCGCTCCGCACTATTTCACAGATTGGCAGGCACGCGTCAACCGAAACCCGTTCCTCAAATGTGTCGTACACGTCCTCGAAGAGGTCAACCGCCGGAACCCAGGGCTCAATCATCAGATACGCGAGGTACGGTATTCAGCCGTAGACGACTGGACTAACGTCGACTATGGATATCATATGGGCGTTTCAATAGGGCCTTCGAATGAGTTGGCACCAATACGCCCGGCGGAGCCAGAACGACGGCAAAGAGTCCCTGCGTACTACGGACAAGGCTATGGTTACGACCAATACCAGGGCGGCTATTCGCAGTCGTCAAGTTACGGCGGCGGCTATAATGTCGCTACGCAAGACTATAGTCAGGTCAACATTGGTCGATGGTACACGTAAGGGTGGATCGTAATAAAAGCACCGTGAACCCTATGGAAAGGTCAAGTTGAGATCCAACTCACGTAGAACCGACTGAGTGTACCGACAGGACTCAATTGATATTCACCACTGTGGAATAACATCTATATCGACGGTGGCATAATATTATACAACGTCCAGACTTATGATCAATGAAATCACAATGAATACATTGATAATAACAAGTTCCTGCAAGCCAAGAAAATCCATGCTAATGACAACTCTTTCCGAGCCCCCACTTATTATAACGACGGAACAACCCTTGTTGGTGCGGCAAATGAAATCTCCAACGACCCCCGGCTCTCGTCTAAGCGGCCCCCCCAATGCCATGCGCGATGAAGTACCGATGCATATGACAGACACCAACAAAGATTCCCCTTGATCGACAGACAGGCCTTCATTCTTTCTCCATCTTGCCCACTTACGTTTCCTTAACCTCTTAGAACATTGCCCCAAAGAGCGTAAACTCTCTCTCTCTCTCTTACATCGTCGAGGAACGAACAACAAATCGTGGACCAAACCTTGGAGCGTCACATTGCTCCTCAGTCCCCCAGAACAACTTCGGAGAAGAAGTGTTGCTGTCTCGAGCGGGTACGACGCGGAGAGCGCCGGATCACAAACACAAAGCGTGCTTCTCCGGCCCCCAATCCAACACATTCTTTTTCTGCTGCAGATTGCCAAGCACCCGTTGCCAACTTGCCCGCCTCATGGGCAGCCTGCCTATCGGGTACGCAGCGCCGGTGCTCTGACCGGTACTTGATTGGGCGCGAGCAACTATGTACGAACCCCCTGTCTGGGGTCGCCGCGAGGATAGTATTTGGATCCTGCGGCCGTGATATTAGGAAACTCAATGGCGAATAACGGTGACGGCGCCGCCCAGCCGCGGGTGGTGCCGGTACCACGGAAGGCCTACGCGACATCCGAGGACTGGACCGCCCACCGGGATCTCATCACGAAGCTGTACTGGGACGAGGACCGGACGCTCAAGGCGGTTCGGGAGTACATGCAGTTGAACCATGGATTTGATGCTACGTAAGTATCATTATTGTTCATGATTACGATTTGTAATTCATGTCAACCATTGTTCTTTTCTCATAATCTTCTTCTTTTTTTTTTTTTTTTTTTAACTTTGGCCAATATACTGACATTAATCACAGGGAAAAGATGTACAAGTGGCGCTTCAAGTCATGGGGACTGCACAAGAACCTCACCCGCAAGGACGCGACACAAATCGTCCACCACGCCTTCGGGGGCAAGGCCGCCGTCCTGCCCGTCATCAGGGGCCGCCAGGTCGGGCCCAAGAAGCTCAAGGACTACCTGTGCAGGATGACGGTGAGCAAGTGTTCGTCCGCAGCTACCATGCCCCGGGCGCTCGGCTCGCCGGACCCTTGGAGGGTCCCGGACGAGGGCGGGCTGACGGACATGGTCATCTTCACGCAGCGGCGGATGCAGAACGACGCCTTTGGATTCAAGGAGAAGCGCAACTACGACTGGAGCGGCGACTGCCGAGTCGTCTTCTGGGAGGACATGCGGTTGGCGGTGGCGAGTCTGAAATCGTCATCATCGCCGCCCCCCTCCTCCGACGTGAAAGGCGACAACGACGACTACGACTGCGACAAGATCACAAAGCCCACCGTCGACGCAGCCGATCATTTCCGCCTGCTCGACCGCGCCTTTAGCAACTACACCCTCGCCCTGGACGGGGAATTCTGGCCGGTCCTGATCTGGACGTCGATCCACTCGGTATTACTACTCCTCGGCCAGGCGGGCGCGCCGCTGGCCGAGTCGTTCGTGCGGTACGCCAGCTCGCTGTGCGCCATCAAGCTGGGGCGGGCGCACGTCGTGACGCGGCTGTGGGCGCTGATCCGGTCCATGACGCTGGGGCAGTTCTGGCGGGCCGCGTACGCCATGCTCAACGCCTTGGTGACGGCGCTGCTGACGGGCCAGCCGCGCGAGGACGACATGGTGCGCGCGGCGGTGCTGCACGCGGCGCGGCAGCTGGCGGCGTCCGGGGCCCTGCCGTTCGCGTCCGCCGCCGAGGCCTTCCAGAGCATCATCGACGAGTTCCGCGACACCCGCGGGACCTGGGTCCGGCACGAGTGGTACCTGTGGTCGCGGTGGTGGCACTGCCACGCCATGTTCCACCTGGGCCGGCTGGACCTGGCGCGGGACGGCCTGGCGGCCCTCGGCCCGCTGCTGCACGGGGGCAACCGCGACTTTGCGTACGGACACGTGTACGACGGGGCGCCACTGACCATGTACTATGCGCTGTGGGGCCGGTTGCACGCGGCGCTGGGCGAGGCCGAGCTGGCCACGTCGTATTATACCGGCGCGTACACGCTGGCCAAGCTGCGGCCGGGCTGGAACGCTAGGGAGTCGCTGCAGCGGACGTCGTCGGAGCTGCGGGATCATTATATCAACATCGGAGACGTCGAGGCTGCTGAGAGGACGAAGCGTGAGGCGCAAGCGCACTGGGAAGCGCTCATTGGGGGCGTTTCATCGGCACGAGAAGCGGATGTTGTATCAGTGGATGAAATATAAGGAAACATTTGTCTTTTCTCTAGCATAGCACGCATAAAGACACATGGATCGGCAAAGCGATTTGCGTTTTTGAGACATTTTGATTTTTTGCTCATCGATATATAGTATAAGTATAAATATATTTACAAGGCGGCAGGATATCATTGCCTCGATGCCTTTTGCCCGGATTTCGTCGTGGGCTTTTTCTTCTTCTTTCCACTTCTTGTTGT